GAAATCAAAATGGAATCTTGTTAAGAGTGAGTTTAGATCTTGATATGTAAAGATGTACATTTTAAGGCAAATAATTCAGAAATCATTATGTATTACTTTAAAAATTGCTTAACAAAAGTTGAGATTGGCTATTTTGTATTTGTCATAGAAAATCTACAAGATGAGTAGGGCAGCCAGAGGAGAGGTCAAGAGGATGAAGAAGCTACCCGCATGTTCACAACTTCTACCCTAGCTCAAACCTCCCCTCCCCTGAGTGCATTTCTGAACCTTTTCTAGGTCATTATTACTAGCATGGTGGAAGCCTGGAAGGCTACAGGGCTTACAGTCTCTCACTTAGAGTAGAGAATTACTACCATGATCTAGGTAATTTATGGAACTCAGGTCAACATTAAGTAAGATCAGTTTGTATGTGTTCCATTCAATTTATAAAACCTTTACAGAGATCAATCTACCACTATTCAAATACCCCCATTGGGCTATGCCTTGAGGGTCAAAGATTAAAAAGAACAAACCTCTAGGACCTTTCAAATAACCATATAATTGTTTAGTTCACTAACTCTTATATAGACATGGCTTTTACTTAGCTGCTATTTTATAGCCCTATGTGGGGGGAGGGGTGTCAGTTACAGAGCCTGGTTATTATTCATTGATAGCTACAGTGCCCAGCAAAAGCAGGAGCTCAGGGGATAGTTACAGAATAAGTGAACAAATTAATGAAGTGAACTGAAGATAAAAATTGCCTATCCCTAATATTTTTATATATCTTTATATCCAAGTATTTTCCTATTTGTTCTTTCATTTTATCCTCAAATTCACACAGAGTAACTCAAAGAAGCTACTATTTTGCATGGACTTGTAAAGACAAGATCACACATTTAGTAACAGAGCAAATGGAAAATTCATGTGCCCTACACAGTCTAAGGTTTCAACAATAATAGAAAAATGGATTAGTGGCCTAACACCTATGGAAAGTTCCAGGGCTCTGAAGATACTGAGTTGACCAAAAGAAAGGCCCTGCTACTTCTTTCTCTGCAGTAGGAAATCAATTAACAAAATAGAGCACACTAGTGACAGCTGGAGAGTTGGCAAAGTCCTCAAGGGGAGGACAGTAAGCAATATCATAGGCTGAGAAGATGGATGGGACTCGTTCATACACCGAGGCTGACTCACAAAGGAAATCCTGCCCAGTTTGACTAGCCTTTCTTCAAAGGTGTCACTGACAGATGAGCATCTAAATGCTTTTGTTTCAAAAAGAAAACAAGGGAAAAAAAGAGAAGGAAGGAGGGAAAGAAGGGAGAAAACACGGAAGGAAGGGAGGAAACATGGAAGGAAGGAAGGAAGGAAGAGCTGAGCTCTCTTTGTATTCCAAACAGGCATATATAGCAATGAACATGTAGATAATGACTCAAGCGGGGAGTTGGGCAGGTCTCTCAAAGGAGTCCTTCAGAATTATTTGCAAAATTGAACAGTTTTTCTTTCAGATAAGTTTCAACTGAACACAATAATTGAATTGAAAACTCCAAATTCCTGCCCATGGGCTGTCTCCCATCTGCTGTTAGGGGAATGCTGTGGGAGAAGCCTGTTCTCATATTCATCTTCATCTGCCAAACAAGCTTTTCCCCAATCAAAATGGTTCTTTCAGTTATAGAATGGTAAATATTGTATGTTCAATTTGAGGGAAGTACACAGAGGAATGTTGTAGAACCTGATCACACAGGGACATGAGGTTGGGTAAAAGTCAGTGAAGCACAGGGACCAGAGAGGCTGCCCTTCTTTGGGAGCCAGTAAGGTCCCTTAAGGTCACTTCCATCATTGGAGCTGTGTCCATGGCAGCCTTCAAGATCAAAACCATACAATACTGTTTTATCTCACGGCTATCAAACAATTGGGAAAAGAAGGTTAATAATCACTAACTTTAAAAGGTTCAAAATCAATACATTTTCCTAAGAATGGCCGAGACATATCAAAAATGCTCAACCTCTCTAGCCATAAAGGAAATGCAAATGGGGAGGGGGGGCGGGGGGGATGGGATGGGAAGGGGAAACAAAGGAGGAGGCTACAATGCTTGATAAGAAATGTACTCATTATCTTGCCCATGTAATTTTAACCCCTCTGTACAGTATTTTCACAAAAAAAATAATAACTGCGTTAAAAAAAAGAAATGCGAATCAAAACAACATTGAGATTCCACCTCACCCCAGTTAGAATGGCTATAATCAAGAACTCTAACAACAGATGCTGGAGGGGATGTGACCAGAAGGGAACCCTACTACATTGTTGGTGGGAGTGTAAACTTGTTCAACCACTTTGGAAAGCGTATGAAGGTTGCTCAAAAGACTTTATATAGAGCTCCCCTATGACCCAGCAATCTCATTTGTGCATTTACCCAAATGATCAGAAACAAGATCATACTAAAGCTACCAGCACAACTATGTTTATTGCAGCTAAGATATGGAACCAATCCAGATGCCCCTCAGTAGATGAATGGATCAAGAAAATGTGGTATATATACACAATGGAATTCTATGCCTCCATCAGAAAGAATGGCATCGCCCCATTTGATAGGAAATGGAAAGACTTGGAAAAATTATATTAAGTGAAGTAAGCCAGGCCCAAAGAAACATAGGTCCCATGGTTTCCCTTATTTGCAATAACTAGTATATGTTTGGGACAAGCAGAAAAGGTGAAAAGCTATGCACATATGACCAGATAAGATGATGTTAAGCAAAATGAACCCCATGATAGGGACACAAGTGGTTTTTTCTTTCTTGCTATTGTTTCTAATATTTATAATGTACCATGTGATTTTTTGTTTCTTTGTATGTTCCTCCCCCACGGTATAACCCCTGTTTTCACTGATTTGATGTTGGTGCCCTGCATCTTGTATATACACTTCTCAAATTGGGGAAGGGAAGGGAAAAAAACAAATGCTTAAATAGGGATACAGGTTGACCCATTGTAACAATGAGATACACAAGACACTATGTTGAAAATGAACTTAACAACTTGGAAGGGGTGAGGAGTTGGGGAGGTGGGAGGGAGGGATGGTAGGGGAAAAACAAAGGAGGAGGCAACAATGCTTGATAAGAAATGTACTCATTACCTTGCTCATGTAACTGTAACCCCTCTGTACAGTATTTTTATAATAAAAAATGTATAAAAAAGAATTATAAAATAAATAAATAAATAAATATACTTTCCCAGATGACCTTGCCTCTTGGCCTTGCTCTGTAATTATCTTCTAAACGCGGGGACCAATTGACACACAGTTAGAAGCAACAAGTAGAAGGATGCCTCTCCAACCCACTCAAGGTGAGCCAGACTCTGTCTCGTGACCTGCCTGTGGTTTCTGGCCAGCTATGTAACTCAATAACAGAACATCAGGCCATTTTTAAGATACATGTTCTCCATTAGCCTGGATACACAGTTCCCTGGCTAAGTTCACATTTCATTCAAGCTCAGCCAAATAGGTATTTATTTAAAAAAGAAGGCATTTAGCAATACTGGAAAATAATTTGTAAACTTGCACAGAGGTAGTCAGAGTAAGCATAAGTGACTTTAGGATATAGTCAGAGCATCCTTGATAATCCCGGAATAAGAAACCAACAGAAAGAGTCTTAAAGAGAAATTATGAACCAGATACACAGCTATGGCCCAACCACGTCTTTGACAACTGTTGCTTATGCCTCCAGCCCCTGGGAGATAACATGACTCCAGAATTAGCTGGCCGGGACAGCCTGGAGGTAAGCAAGTCTGACCTTCTTTAAGCAAAAATAAATCTCGCTGAGTTAAATGATCCTGTCTCCTTCTTTCCTCAAGGAACATGAGGCATTAAGTGACAAAATTAGAAGACAGCAGTCGTGACTCCTCTGAGCCCATATCTCCTGCCTGATTAATGATAGGTCTGCCTAGTTCAAGATAAGCTTCAGGTCAGATACATAAGACTGTCTTCCTTGTCATATCCAATAACCAAAGAAAAACCAGGGTGACTATCCCCAGATCTTTCAATCCCTATTAATATAATCATGATGCACAAACTAACTCAGAAAGAGAGTGGAGGAAAAAGCAGTGTTTTCAAGCCAAGAAACAACCACTTCAAACAGGTCTGCTTCTCTGTTCCATTCAAACTCCTTTCCACAAGTTATCATGATATGCAAAGACACAGGTGTTGATGTTCTAAGTCATGCTAAAGAACAACTTAATGAGGGAGGCTACCCGGAAACAAATGACTCCCTTAGGTGAACCTAGCCTGTATCTGGAGAGTGCTTGGAGTGTACCATTCATCCATCAACCAGTGAATCCAAAAATTATATATCAGAAAGAGACCATGTGCCAGACATGCTCTTAGGCTTTGTTTTTGTCAACAGCTGTCCTCAAAGGAGGGCTTGTGGCAGTTTCAGCCCCGTAGGCCAAAAACCACTAATGAAACTCTCCAGCCAGCAACAGACGTCTGCTGACACTCATGGGAGATGTGAGAAATAGGAAAAGCCAGAAACAGAGATATTTTCCCCCCTCACAATTCAAACTCATTTGCAAAATGTTTTGGCTTTTCCCTGTTTACAAATCCAGTACCTGCAGACACATCTAACTCTAATTCAGGAGGGAGAAGTCTTGGTCTCTCAGAGAAGGGCATATTTCAGCTAATTTGTGCCTACAACAAACCCACAATGTCCTTCTGTGTCCATTGTCAGCCTAATGATACAGACATTGAAGATCTGGTGTTTATTTCAATGAACTTTACCTACTGTCACTCTTTAGTGCATATTCCAACTATCTCCTATAGGCTCCAAGTTGAACAGAAACCCTGGAAAAAAATTCTGCCTTTATGTCAAACATAACCATTCTTCACAGGTTTGGTTTAGAGGAGGCAACACCAAGATGAGAAAGAAGCTCCTTTGAAACTGGCTGTTAGGAGAATAAACATGGTGCATAGAAGCAATTGTCTGGCTAGGTGAACAGAGACCCTGCTCGAGTTCTACTCACTGAGATCCATTGTTTACCTGCCACCACGGGAGACTTCCGTTCATCCAGGAGTTGGATGGAGGTACTTGCTGTTACCACATTGCTTTTGTTGACTGTTCCTATAAAAAGAGAAACCACCACAACAAAAATGGAGATGCATATAGTCTACACCTAAAAATAGTAATCATGTTGGCCCACAGCCAACAATTCTGCAAATTGATCTGGAGTTCCATTCCCCAAGTCCAGAGTGTTCTGGGCTAGGGACATTCTGCCTACTCTATCGGGCCCATATTAGTGCTAGAAGCAGTGTGCCAACTTCCAGTTACTAGAATGAAGCAATGTCCAGTTCTTCACGGTAAAATCTTTGACCCCCAAGGGGGGAACACAGATTTCTGTCCTTGAGGCTAATTGTAATGGTTACTATGTGAGTGGTGCTACAGAGAGCACCTCTCTAAACACAGTCAGTCACAGAGAGCTACATGAAAGAGAATTCTGAAATTAATACAATAAATTGGTAACTTTGATTCTGATTCATAAGGTTAATCTTAATTGATCTATTATGGTCTAATTTCAAACCTAGCTTTCCTGAGCAAAACCATTTTAAACACAGAGAGAGCTGGAATGAAATCTTTATTCCAAATTCTTTTTAATGCAGTGACATTATAGTATTAGTGTCAAAAGTTTTCCTATTATTCACAATGGTTACAATACTAATGAGTTAAAACATGCTGAGCACAAATTCGGAAGGCCCACAGTTAATAATCGTTAGCCCAGTGACTACATCAGGAAAAAAAAAATCCTCCAAGAATGTGAGTTGAATGGAATCCAATTGAATTGTAAAGCAGAGAAGGCAAACTTGAGTTAGAATATAATTATAGACAAAGTAATTGGGAATTTTCTCACTGACCAAGCAATAATAAAACCTTCTTTTCAAAGGTAGGTATTCACAGGGTCATAAGCAAATATGCATAACCATGTTGGCTAATGTATGGTATACACAGATGAGGAGTGCAATGGTCCTTTGAACAACTGACTTGAAGTTTAAAAGATGAATATCAGGAAGCTGAAATATCAGGAAGCTGAAGTTGAAGGGAGATAAAGGCAGACAAATGAAGAGAGGAAGGGTGGACAAATGCAGTCAGAAAATTCAATGGACATATGTGAAAATGGACTGAGGTAACTTGAAGGTATGAGTAGGGTTGGAAGAGATTGGGGAAAATGATAAAGGGGTGGAATTGATCAAGACACATTGTACTTCTAAACTGATTTATTGAATGATAATTCCTTTCTACAATTACTTAAAGATTATAAAAATATAATTTAAAAAAGATGCATTGTTCTTATAAACTGACATGTTAAATTGAAACCCCTTTGTACAATTACTTAAATAAAAACCATATAAATAAAAAGTAAAAATACAAAAGAAATTAAAAGCAAAACAAAACATAGATATGCAACATAAAAGAGAGAGAGCATTTACCACAATGACTTGCAATGACTTGTACTTAGTGACGTTAGAGATTTTCCTTGAATGTCTAAGAGCCATGAAACACTCAAAGATGGTTACATTATCATAACTTTAATATAAATAAGGTAAGTTTCTTTGATGACACAATTAAATTAAGAGTTTCATGAAAATTTCAGTTCTCCAAAATAAATATGACAAAAATTTTAATGAATCAGAATTTCAAAGAAACATAGGTCCCATGGTTTCCCTTATTTGCAATAACTAGTATATGTTTGAGTCAAGCAGAAAAGGTCAGATAAGTTGATGTTAGGGGAATGAACCCCAAGATAAGTATTCAAATGTTTTTTTTTCCTTTCATGCAATTGTTTCTATCATATTTGTAAGATGATCTCTATCTTGCTTTTTTATGTCCCTACCCCACAGTATAACCCATACTTTCACTGTATTTGATGTTGGTATAATTTGTGGAGGGGAAGGGGAAAAAACCAAATCATTTAACTAAGGATACAGGTGGACCCATTGCAACAATGAGATGTACAAGTCGTTATGTGGAAAAATGAACTTAACAACTTTGGTGGGGGGTGGGGGGAGGATCAGGTGGGAGGATAGGAAGGGATGGGAAAGGGAAACAACGAGGAGGCAACAATGCTTGATAAGAAATGTAGTCGTTATCTTGCCCATGTAATTGTAACTCCTCTGTACGGTATTCTCACAATAAAAAAAAGACATAAAATAGAAAAGCTGAAAAAAAAAAGAATTTCTTTTGCGCAGACATAATTTTTTTTAAGGAAAAACAGTGGATGACAAGGCAAACAACATATGCAAGTGAATGTGTGAAGCATTTGGGAGTATTCTGTGTAGCCTGGTCAAAAGCAACTCTATCACAGAATGATTTCCGTACAGAGTCAGAGGGACAACAAGCTAAATTCTACTTTTTTCTTTATAGGATTGTGACAAACAAAAGATGAGATAGAAAATTATGTTATTGTTCATAAGTTTGCAATATAAAAACGTTCACTGTGTCTTAGTTGTTATTTCCAGCTATAGTGTGATGCAGATGAACATTTAAAAAGGATCCAGACTGGGTATAAAGCACACTTGGGTGAGAGCATCTTTATCCAGGGGCCTATCAGCAAATTGATCACACTCACAGACTCAATCTGGAAAGGAACTCAGTAGATGATCTAGTCATAACTTGTACCCCGCAAGAGAATTTTACCACTTTCCCTTGAATATGTCCATTAATGAGAGATTATTTTCCTAATAAGCCCATTCCACTAACTGTTGTCAATATGGCTTTTACAAGTTTCTGAAACATTTTCATTCATGGAAATGAGAAAAGATGAAGAGAGTAGGAAGTTGACACTAGGCATTGGACAGCTTCCATTAGGGATAAATTAGTGAGCCATTTAGGAGATTAACATGAAGAGCCCTATTACAAAATTCCATTACACACTGAACTTTTCAGAGTTTATAGAATTAGTTTTCATTCATATCTGAAGTTTCTAATGCCCAATAGAGAGCTTCACACAGAATTAGCATCAAAAAATGCCAACTGCGGGAGACAGCCACAGAAAACTGTAAAGCATTTCCAATGTGATTTGCTTCTAATACTAGTTGGAATAAGATAGCACTCAGATCTTCTTTAATGGAGGAGATGACTATCTCATGACATCATAACGTCTACAGAATGTAAAAATCATCAGCCACATAGCTTTCATTGGTTGCTCTGCAGCCCTCAGTCAAGAAAGCAGATTGTGCACTAAAAGCTCTGGCCTTCTGCATAACAGTTTAGATCAGATAGGGATCTAAGGACTTTTGAAGTGATGAAAGTGACTGAAGGTTCTGGCAAACTGTCTAAACTTTCTCTTACATAGGGCCAAACAGCATTAAAAACAAATCAACTGAGAAGATTGCATTCAAATTCCACAGGGTTGCAAAATACTGGCCCTGCTTCCTAAAACACCCTCTGCATAATTTGGTAAAGTATGATTTTATTTATGCGGATGGAATGGGTCACCAGTTTGGAGCTCTCAGTATTCAGCACTGGCTCTGGAGAATTCGGCTCCTCTTGGCATTTGCCTGTGCTGCCCCCTTCCCTTCTCCCCTCCCCCCCCCCCCCCCCCCCCCCCCGCCCCATCCCCTGCTTCCCTACTCTGCATAATGCCCAGGCCAGTAGGATCAAATAGAGACAGTCTTGTCTCCCAGAAGGACACCCACCTGTGCTGAAAGGGATTGAGTAGACGAAGCTCCCCGGGATCTGCTCAGCAGCTCTTCGGTACCAGAGAGGGAAATGGTCTGCATTAAAAATGTTTTCTTTGTCTCCAGCTTTGAGGAAGTCCCTGAAAATGGATACGAAGAGCACTGTATTGATCAAGGTCAAAGTGGACACAGTACAGGTAACAATCTTTGTCAGGATAAAAGTAGGGATGGCTTTTAGAAACCCAACTTGTCTTTTTCAGCACTGAAGGGACCTGAGTCAACATTAAACATCCAATGTTACTCCAAAACATGTTGGGAAAGCTCTGGCAGCCAGATTCTGAGGAGAAAAACCATCTGTCCCAGTCCAGTGTACCTAGTCACATAACCGGAACAAACATAAATGTAGCAAAGCAGGCCATGAAAAAGTACCTCCGTACGAACCAGTTAATATGAGTTCCTAGGAGACAGATGACTTATTCATCTACCCGTCAGTCAACGAGCACATGCTATGGATTGAAGCAATGCTATAGGGATAGAACCCAGTTGTAGGTATTTTTCCTCTCATAGTGTTCCTGTCTTAATTTTTTGATCTTCACATTAACCAAAGGATATGGCGATCTTGGGGAGGACATATAAATGTACATCCTCGCAGCTCATGTGTAGTCCTGTTATTTTCTGAACTTATAACAATAATGCAGGTATTAGACTCAAAAAAGCCACGTTGTGTTGCTGTTGTTGTTTGCCTGTTCTTATTGGCTTGTGGTTGCCTCAGCATTAGCAACAACCTTCCCCTTGAGCATGGGAAGATCTATTCTTTGTCTGCCGTCACTCTCCTCACCCTCACAAGAGAAGGCACCCTGCAACTCAGTACGTCTAGTCCTTCCTATGACCTTGCCCTCTGGAGAAAGGCTTGCTTGGGAGTAAAATGCGAAAGCGGGCCTTAAAAATCAAGTCACAACAATAGTGAATTGCATTCAGAACAAATGTGAGATACTGAGAAAAAACAAAAGGAATTGAGAATGTAAAGGCAGTGTCTAAAATCAGTTAAAAAATCTATCCATCTGCCTTTTACCAGATTTGGTTTGGGGAGGTTCTCGTGTTAGTGTTAGGGCCTCATCTAACAGGCCAGCAGCCCTGTTAAACCAGGACTTGAAGGGTAGGTAGCACCTCCTCTTTGGACACTCCCCTAGAACAACTCTTCTCAAATAGGCACCCAGCCTGTGTATTCGTTTGTCACCCCTGATATCCTCAAGTCAGGAAATGTGATCTTTCCTGATAAACTTCAAACTCACACCCTCAGTGGCAAATACAAATTTTGAAATCTCAGACTCCATATGTGTTTGGCCTAATAATGCCTCTGTGTCAAGGGGAGAAAAGGGAGAAAACTTATTAATGGGCTTAGAAAATACTCATGCAGGGCTGGGAAGGTGGCTCAGTGGTAGAGTGTTTGCCTCACATGCGTGAGGCCCTGGGTTCAATTCCTTAGCACCACATAAGCAGAAAAAGCCAGAAGTGGTGCTGTGGCTCAAGTGGTAGAGGCACTAGCCTTGAGCTGAAGAGCTCAGGGACAGCACCCAGGCCCAGAGTTCAGCCCCCATAACTGACAGAAAAAAAAAATACTCATGCTATGAACAGCTCTGGTGATACATTCATCTGATGAGTAAAGGGCCTGTGGCTCCTTGAAGACCCAAAGCTGAACAGTGCTGGAATGAGCAGTCAGGTACTGGACTCAGTCACTCTTAGCCCCTGTTGCTCTCTACCTCCAGACAGCTCACCTCTATGATTAAGGTTCTGCAGTCCCTCCAGCTAAGCACAGAGGCACAGAGGTTTATTAAAATGTAAACAAACAAATAAACAGCAATTCTGAGACCTAGGCAGGAGTTCCTGGGCACAGCTGCAGAACAGCTGAAAGCTCAGAGCCCTGTGTTGGGAGCCCAGAGCTTCCTCCCTCTGGCTGCCCCCACCCCAACAGCCTCATCATCTCCCAGGCCCTGAAATGACTCACCAGGCAGGAGAGGCCTCCAGGATGGTGGGCAGAAACCAAGTGTGAGTAACAAAGGGTTGTGAAAGGACCAGCGGGCAGGTGAGTGCATGTGTTGGGGCCCCCATGGTAGAACAGAGGAAAAAATTCTCAGCAGGTCTAGGGTGGCCTGAACTTTGTTTCTGCCAGTGGTGAAATAAGCATCCCTTTGGATTTTCCATGTTAGGAGCTCACTGGGCCCCTAAAGAGGAGCCCTTGTACTTACTGGTTGGTGAGCTGCTCAGCCCCAACAAACAGATTGATTCTTGAAAGACCCGTGCGAGTACCGAGGAAAGCGACCTCTACGCCCTTGTCAGAATTCCTGAAATAGAACAGCAGACAACAGAGAGATGCTGCTAGACAGTAAGCAGATAATGGCTTTTGCATTTCAAGACCTACAGAATGTTTTACAAAACAGTAGCTTTGAAGCCTGAACTTTAAAAGAACTTGTAAAATGACACGCATACATACACGTGCATACTCAACACTCAAACATAACACAAAGGTGCACATATAACATTCATGCACACATGCATGCACATGCACACCAAGCTCAGCAAGCAACCTCCCTCTTCTCTGGGACAATAACCCCATGGTGATACTTGGAGGAAAACATGAAGAACATCTTGCCAACAAAAGCAGCATGAGAAAACTTTACTTCCAATAAACGCATTTTATCTCAATGATCTGGGTGCAGATTCAGAGACAGCAGGCTGAGGATGAAGAACTTTGAAAAAAGATAGAAGTCCATTGGGATAACTTTATTGCTCATTTCCACCCAGTGTGCTCTACGTCTTGATACTGTAGTCACTGCAGTGAGCAGCAAATCCTCTAAATCAAGTCTACAGCACCCCACAGCCTGGAGTTCTGTACAGCTGGAACAGGATCTGACTTCCACACAGTTGTGGGGAGACCAACATTTAAATACTTCCAAAACACCAGCTTTATTCTCACCTGATCTAAAGAATAACTCCTTCAAGCAACCCTGTAGGGTGCCAAGTATAGGAACTCTTAAGGATATCCTTCACAAGGAAAACTGCTTTAAAAACTTACTAATATAATGTTGTTTTAATTTTCAAAGCAATTCTGTATTTGATCATGTTCTTTAGGAGATGTTTCTCCTGTGCAAAGAACAAATGAGTTTTTCTACAAACACAATTTTATCTTACACTGAAGTATGAAGAGAATGCCCAATTTTGTGCTTACTTCTCTGTCCTAGATATTAATAGCAATTTGATCCGAAGCACTATCCATGTCATCTTCGAAATAAGATGGTTTGGTTATTGGCCTTTGGCAGTACTCATGGTGGTCAATACAACCTTTAAGTATGTGAAAGGTGACTACAAACCAGCAGGATGCATTTGCCTCTGCTCATATCCTACACCAAATTGGAAAGCTCGATGTCCGATCAGTTACAGATGTGGACTACAAAGCAAGCTACCATTTTAGAAATCTCAAGTATGTGAGACTTTGAGTTTCATGAGAGACTAAAAGAAGTATTTTAACATTCATGAGAGAAAGAAATCCTAGGATAGGCTTTGATGATCCCCAGTCTCCCAGAGGAAAAGATCCATGTAGGTAAGCAGGGCTTCCAAAAGTATAATGAACATGCAGTCCCTCTTTGGAGCTTCAGACCATTATAAACTGCCTGCATGAGGTCCACTGTCTACTGCCCACTGGGCAAACCTCCAGTCATCTTAGGCTTCAGTCTCTACCAGGGACTGTGGCCATGGCCAGTCCCAACCCTGCTTTTCTCTGTGTCTCCTATTCTACCATTTTCCCTGGTGCTTGGTATGCAAGTGTGAGCATGAACCTGACAGTTCAGTCTCTCTGTCCTTACACCACAAGCTCATCAACAGGTCCTGGGGTCTTACTGTCAAAGCAGGGCACATGTGAACCTCTTGGTCCAAATGGAAAAATCCCTTGCAATGCTCTAGAAGCCTCCACTGCCATTTTTACCCCATTATACTCTGTTCTTCATACAGAAGTTAGAGATTTTTTTTTAAAGCAAATGTGATTACATTCCTTCCTACTTCACAAATTTTTCTTGTCAGTTTCAGTTTTCTAAGTACCAAAATGTAGACTCTAACTTGTCTCCCAAGGTCCAGAGCCACCTGGCATCTCTTTGCAGCTTCATCTTCTGACATTATTTAGCCTAACTGCAACCTTTCAGGTAAGTTCACAGTTTTTAATGTCAACGTGAGCTTTCTCCACTCAGCATCTATCCTAGGATAGATGCCAACATTAGATGGTATACTAGTTTGCTGTTACTTTTCCTTCAAAGTAATTATCAAACATTTTAATAATACAGTACACTGCATACCACAGGAACTGGATAGCAAGTCCTCTGTCAGTTTGTGCTAACTCTATTTCACCAAAACTCAGTTCAGGGTACATCACAGGTGAAAGAGTGAGTGAATGAATGAATGAACACACAGAAGAAAGAACGTCAGAACAAAATGATTCATCAACAAGATAGAAAAGAAGACAAAACAAATAATGAAGTAGTAGAGAGAACTAAATATTGTACCACTTGAAGGAATAAAGTGAAAATGATTTTCCTATTTTTAAAAGCCTACTCACAGCAATAGTAAAATGAGCTAAAGTAGTTCTCATTCTAGTCTCTGATATCAGCTACCACCAACTTCCCCCTCTCTTATCCTCCACTTAAGAAATAAGAGCACAAGTATCTAACACGCCTGAAATAGATACCTCACATCTGGGTCCTACTCACAACTTCACCTGGCTCCATCCCAAGTTCTCTCCAGTCTGTAAGGTTGAGGGACCAGTGGCAAGACAGAAAACGAGATGTTGCTTCCGCCTCCCTCCCTCTCTCGGAAGTGTCACTCTACCTCCACTTACCAAATTTCATGTAATGTTAAAACTCAAGCAAATTACATGTCAAGCCCAAGAGCCTGCCATCCAAGCCCGCACCACTAATCTGCTCTAGCTCTTGTGGTTTGGAGCTTAGGGGAAAATTAAAGAACTTTAACACCAGGCCCCTAAAACAGTTTAGTTCTTTAAACCATAACCATATTTTGGAGCCTTAGTGCGGAAATGGACATGAAGGGGACACCTGCAATCACTTACTCAGATTTGTTGAGGGCTAGGCTGGTCCAATATGCTTCAATGGGGGCACTCACCACAGCATCAAAAAGGACTTCTTGGATCAATTCTTTGTCACCTGTTGGGAAAGATAGAAGACAAGCTACTTTGGCCTGCCCCCAAAAAGGAGCTTGAGAGGCACGCCCCGGGCTTAGTTTGCAGTATCTGCGGGATACTTTCTCATACTGTGTGTTGCTTTATGAGTTAACCTCCCACCAGCCAAAAATATAAAACAGTCTGACATCTGATATGCCGGTAATACCAGGGCCCTAAAGCATTTGGATTAGACAGAAGTAAATGGAGAGGCTTAGGCATCTCACACTTTGCTTTCCTGCTGTCTCTCTCTCCATCTCATAGCTCATGCCATGGACTAGTATGATGACTCCCAGAGCTAGAGAGTGGAAGCCAATACTATGTGAGAATGCTAGCTCTGGTAATGACCATCTCTGTCCTCTTTGAAAACCTGCACTTCTTCAGCACTCTGCTCTTGGTTGATGTCTGTAGGGATTTGCTTTCTATGATCCCTTCCATTTAAGAGGGCCTTTTTTTTTTTTTTCATTTTAAGGGTGGTATCTGTCTCTATCCAAAAGGATGGTGGGTAGCACTTTGTGAAAGAGGCCAAGAAATAAGCAGAAGATTATGAGCCTAGGAAAAGTTTTAAAGGCCCTCTAGGGAATACGTACTCTTTATCTAGGGCAGGCCAGTCCTCAGTTTTGGCCAGGGGCAAAAATAACAAAAGAGTGGTTTTGAAAAGTAAAAACTAGAAGTAGCTTCACTTATCATTGAAGAAACAATGGGTAAGTTCAGATATACTTAAAGAATGGAATTCTATGTAGTAATGCAAACAAATACAATGGAGTTAAGTGATTAACATGAGCTGTGTGTGTGTTATCATATATAATTCATATAACATACCATATGTTATATATACAGGTTGAGTGTACTTTATCTAAATGCTTGAGACCTGAAGACTTCAGAGCTCAGAGCTTTGGGGTTTGGGAATATTTGCCTTTATAAAAAGAGATATCTTGAAGCTATGACATAAGTATAAACAAAATTCATTTGTATTTCATATATATATATATATATGTGAATACAATAATACACATAGCCTGAATATAAATTTATGTAATATTATTATCAAGTAATTTTGTTCATGAAACAAGGTTTCATGATGTGGATTTTCCACCAATGTCATTACATTAGTGTTCAAAAAGTTTCAGACTTGGAGTATTTTGGATTACAGATTTTTGAATTAGGGATGTTCAATATGTATATAAAGTTAATATATAAAATAATAAAAGTAATGGTATAAAGTTTTATGTATTATACTAAAAATGCATCAGTATGATAAATGGACATTGGCTGGTCATTCTCTATGGGAGGGAAGTGGAACAGGACAAGGATTTTAATATCTCTGCAGTGGTTGGTTCCTTAAAGAGTACTTGAGCCATTCGTATAATCCTAGCTACTCAGAATGATGAGATATGAGGATCTAAGTTCAAAGCCAGCCCTGGCAGGAAAATCCATGAGACTCTTATCTCTAAGTAACCACCAAAAAGCCAGAAATGGAGCTGTGGGCTTAAGTGGTAGAGTGCTAGCCTTGAGCAAAAAAAAACTCAGAGTCAGTATCCAGGAACTGAGTTTAAGCCCTAGAACCAGTGCCCTCCCTAAAAAAAGTACCTGAAGCAAATTTGGCAAAATATTAGGAAGCCAAATGGTAACTAAAGGAAGTTGAATGGTAACTTAGAAATTGCTTTTCAAATTATCTCCACACTTGAGATAATGTGTTCCTTAAACTATATCATGAACAATTCAAAGACAAAGAACAATTGGGCTCAGAGGATGAACATCTGATCTTTTCCCTACCAGAGCATACCATCAAAGTAAATCCATCCATGAAGCTGTCAGTTAACAGCTGGGTAATTTCCTTACACCTTCCTTGAGATGGCTATGATTATTCCAAAAGATAACACATGTCAAGCACTTTGCCCATCATTGTGAAATAATGCTTGTTAGTAAGAGAAGCAGGTGCTATGCTTATTTTTGGTGGATTTCTCTTTCTTAAATTGAAGCTACTGGAACCACCTCATGATATAAGAAGATCTCCTCCTTGAGGGAGAATACAGAGCAGCTAGAACTACCCTTGCCTCTAACACAGATATTAGTCAAATTATTCACTGAGTGCTTTCAGAGAATGCTTGGTAAAAGAGGCAGAATATAAGCCACCATGAGAGGCAACAGATACTAGTGATGACTTCTTTCTCAGAGAATCAGAAAACCTAGATTTGTGGACTTGTGTAAAGTAGTTCATCCCCCATTCTACATTGTTTTTCTGGTGATAATGGGACTTGAACTTGGGGCATCACACTTGATAGGCAAGTAAGTACACTACCATTTGATCCATGCCTCCAGTCCAGCTTTGTTTTAGTTTGTTTTTTGATGGGTCTTATCCTTTTGTCTAAGACTTGCCTCAGGCCACACAATCTTCCTATCTCCAGTTCTTGAGGAGCTGGAATTGCAATCATGAATCAACATGCTGAGCTTGAGATAATCCTTTTTTTTCAGTTTCTACTTCTCATTTGTAAAATAAGGGTGCTGGATAAGCAAATATCTGCAGTCTTTCCCCAGCTGAAACATTTCCATCCTATTCAGTTGTTTGGAGTAAATGGTTTACTAGAAAAACAAATCTAATGAAATGGGTTAAATGGTGATTAGGAATTCTGGGATTGGTAGCTTACATTCATCTACAAAAATCGGATGGTTGACTGGCTTTGGTCTTAGCCAAACAAAGCTTCTCTTGAAAACTGGGACATGAATATATAGTTTGGAGTTGACCTTCCCCACCAGGTAAAGCATGTCTTTGAGAGTACACTCACATTGGAGTAGAGGCTCTTTACCCTTGAGGTAGAGCTTAATAGCTTCTAGTTGAGACAGGTGGCGGTGCTCAGGATGCAGGTCCGTGTTGCAGTAAGACCTAGCCCAAGGAAAAACAGCATATAAACTGTTGTGTTTCCTTCTTTTGCATTTGAACCAGGGAAACAAGCAAATAGGGTACAGGAACACAAGCAATTAGAAACTAAAGTGGGCAATAAATACTGATGCCCATTTAGGCCTGGTAAATTCTTACCATTCATCTGCCAATGACACATCTGGGTGCTCTAAGTCATGCAGGCCTGGAGATTAAGAAGAAGAGGTCCATGAATAAGCACTGCCTCCTCCACCTTTGCTTCAAGTATTTTAGGGAACTGTGGGGTGAGTTCACAGGAGACAGCAATCCCCTGCCTGGGGATCAGGAACTTCAGAAGAATGTAGCAAATTCTTTGTCCAGTCATCTCTGCCCTCAATTTCACTCATTCCAATGGCATGAACACCACCTTCATTGGCTACATATCCAAGAGAGAAACTAACTCTATGGGGGTAAGAAACATATTTGTACTGAAGACAGCTTAATAGGACAGTTAGAAAAACTGACTCTGGAGCCCTATGTAGTCCAAATTGGGAACTGGACTAGGCCCCCAAACTCCTGTGTGATGTTAGTGGGTTAATTTACTTCTTTAAATATTGGTTTCTTCATGTGCAAAACAGAAAAGATAATAGTCCCTAAGTGATGGATAGTTGTGAGATGAAATTATAGGTTGAATGATACAAAATTGTCAATACTCAACTGTTTCTGACCAGCAAAAATTGCTAGTTGTTACAGGTTCCTAAGTAAGTGAATCATCAGTCTAGTCTAGAAAGGTAACTAGGGAGCTGGGACTTTCAGGGAATTTGGAAGTTTTTAACAGAATGCTCTGAACTATCTTAACTCTGTGATACGGTTTGTTCTTCAAAGTTGCCTGTGCTAGAAGCTTAGTCCTCAATGTAATGATCTTGAGAAGCAATGAATCTTTAAGAGGCAGGGCTTAATGGAAGGTGATTAGATCATTTGGCACCAGATACAGAAGGGATTCATGTGCTTCTCACAAAATTGGGTTCGTTTCTACAGAAGCATGTTGTTATAAAAAGAATTGGCCTGGCCAGGTGCCCGTGACTCATGCCTATAATCCTAGCTACCCAGGAGGCTGAGATCTGAAGATTTGCAGTTTGAAGCCAATCGAGGCAGGAAGGACCATAAGACTCTTATGTCCAGAAAAGCCCAAAAGTGGAGCTGTGGCTCAAACTGGAAGAGTGCTAGCCTTCAGCAAAAACGCTCAGAGACAGTGCCCAGGCCTGAGTTCAAGGCCCATGACTGACCAAAAAATAAAAAAAGGAATCAGCCTGACTCCTCCTTTGTCTCTTGTTTCTTCACTTGTATAGGTGTTTCTATCCTTTCTGATGTTTCTATCATGTTGGGATGCAGGCAGAAGAGGCCAACTAAGTGGGGCCACCAACCTTGGGCTTTCAGCCTCTCAAACTAAGAGCTAAATAAAACTCTTTATAAGGTGCCTAGCCTCCATATTCTATTATAACAACACAAAACTGGATAGGACACACTATGAAGTCAGTCTCTTTCCTTGGGTTTTCATGTGCCTTAATTTCAAAGAGTGATAGAGCAGAATTATACTTCTATTTTATAAGTCCTTTCCCAAATGACCAGTAGTAGTTCACTGAACACAGGACTCCAATTTCCCCTTCAAATATGAATGCATAAAACAAATATGGAAATATTAGAACTATCACATAATCCTTCTGAATTGTACATAATCAAGTAGGGAATAAATTAGATTGAACATCAGGCAATAGCATCTGTCAGTTGAGTGAACTTAGCAATGACCTTCAGTTATACCAGCTATGTGATGCAGCAAAAATTGTGTAACTCCTACTTAGATGTGCCCATAATCAGCCCTAAAACAATCCAGTATCCATATATTCTCCCTGCCTTTCTCTTCCTTCTTCCCTCCTATTCTCCTTCCTTTTTCTTTCTTTTTTCCTTCTTTCTTTCCTTCCTTTCTTCAATATTTTTTGACAAGCAACTGCTATGTGCCAGAATTTGGCAGTGAACCAAACACAAATCCCTGTCTTGGTGATACTTAATTTTTGGTGACTGAAAGGAGAGCAGCAGATCAGCTTGCTAATATTTTACTTGGTGGTGAGGGCTGTGAAGGAAAAAGAGCATAGAATGATGATATGGAGGACCAAAAGATGGGAAAACTTAATAGACTTTCCTCAGTTTCATTTCACTGAGAAAGTGACTTTTCACCAAAACTTGAGAGAGGCAAGGGAAAGTCATACAGGTAAGCGTGAGAGAGCTCGATATAAAAGTAGCAAGTGTAAAGGCCTGATATGGGACTATATCTTCCCCTAGTACTGAGTCAAGGAGGTCAATTATATATATTTTTCTACATTCAGTTCAGTCAACTTTTATCCACAAAGCCTTCTCTGGCAAAATGTTACAGGAAATACAGATGAGCTCTTGTGGGAAAGTTTTTTTTTTTTTTTTTGTCTTTTTTTAAGTTTCACATTTAACTGTGCTCTCTTTTGCATCTGGTTTTGGTTCTTTGGACAAAATTCTCATCTACTGATGATTGACATTGCTTACAAAAGCTCTAACAGTTTTTGTGTACAGTACATATAAAAGATACAAAGGAGAGTCAGAAGAGACATAACTACAATGACTTCTTGTACTTTGGAGCAGAGACTACCTATTTGCCATCTTGCTAGTATCTGGCATTGGCAAAGCACTTGGAAAATCCCTACATTTTGTAGAAGCACATTCCTTACTATAAAACCTATACAAGTGTTGCTGCAATCCCCAAAGAACTCCCTCCCTCTCTAAGAACATAGAAGAAAAAGAAGCAAGCTGGGGCTCTTAGAGACAAGACCCTGTACCAGTTAGCCTAAGGGGATGCAGCTTTTCTGGACTCTATTACTCAGTGAAGTTGGCAAGATTGTAAGTCCTTTCATTTGCAGAAGACCAACAGAGAGAGGAAGATCTGACCTCATTTGTGTGGATAACCAGACATTTTCCCCCTTGCTGAGGATTTAACTAATTTCTTACATGGTGATTATAGTTAGCTCTGAAATTCTCTGTGACTGCTTTGCCTAACAGCTGGAGAACATACAGGAAAAAGATAGTAACCAAAAAAATATCCAAAAGACAATGCAAAACAACTGTGTGGGAGAGATTAGGAGAAGAGATGTAGAGGAATAGATCTGTGTTTTGCAGTCAGCGAAAGGAACAGACATATGAAGGGTACATGTAAAGGGTACATGAATGACCTCTCCATCTATTTTTCTGACTGAGTATTCCTCGGCTTGACTTCATATGGCTTAGGCATGAACTTAGGCTCTGATATTCACACAGGCACAACAATTTCAGAAGTGAAAGTGTGATCTCTGAGAATACTTCCTATAACGTATCTTTTTTAAGTCACAAAGTTTCTTGTATTCTCTCATTACTGAGAAGAGCTTACACAAGATTGGCTCTTGGGTGGGCATAGGGAAAGTTTTGTCCCATTCACAGTGTCTTACTCTCCCTCTGTTCTCTAAGGTCTCTTTGTTTCTCTCAGTCTCTTGGCAGACAAAACTAACACCTCTGAGACAATGGAGAGACAATCAGTTATTCATGGAACATGGAATCTCAGGGACCATAGTTCTTATCATTGGAGTTTAGCACATTCATTTGCAACCAACACTTACGAATTAAAACTTGGCTTATAATCAACCTTCTTTTTCTTCGTCATCCATGTATGGACAGCTAGAAATAGTCCTAATCTATTCTAACTCCTTCTCTGTGAAGATGTAAAACCTAAAGGCTAAGTTGGACTTCCTTAAGGTCAGTCTAGGAATAGATCCCCTGAGAGACCAAGGCCACCTCTCTGTGTGACATTGAGAAAGCCTAGCCTTTCTCAAAGAGTGAACTATGGGGATGAAAAAGATAGCATGAGTGAGATCATCTCCTCTTTCTAACCTGTGTCATTTCAATTCCTATGTGTTGCCTCAACAACTCTGTGGATAAATGCAGGATATAAATGCACTGAATTAAAACAACGGCTACCAAGAGTTGTAATCTCCATCATTCTGAAACCTAGGCAAAATTGTCAAGAAAGGTAACAGCAAGTGGTAACTTGACTGAGTCAAGTGCCCAAGGCACTAGCTAGAGGGTCTTTGGTTCATTCATAGCTATTTCCAGAACTTCCTCTCAATGATAAAAGCTGGACTGAGCTAAGGCCAGACCTTACCTTCTTCAATGGTCACATTCCCTCGGAAGAAATATTTCCCATGGCCTCTGGAGAGCGCCACACCTAAACTGTGCAGAAGAAACAAAGCAGATCTTGAAGTCCATGGCATCGAGTGGGATAGACTTGTGGGTTAACATTTTTATTTTCCATTTTCACATTTCCATTTCATGTTCTGTAAACAATTTTTCCAACAGTTTACTTTTAAAACCTCACTGATTATAGTGGGTGTTGGTTTTTCTTAGGTTCAAGCAGCTGCTTCAAAGTCATTTCTGATTGGAAATGCCAGCAGCAATTGGCTGCTCTTGTGTTTCCAACACTTGTGGCAAACAGCTCGGCCCTCCAGCATGCCCTTCCCTTGGATGCCTTCCCGGGGGGCCACGCACCCTACTTCGTGCTACTGCCTTACACACCTCTGCCCTGATGCCAGCTAGAGATGGGTCTTTTAAAATCCCAAAGATTGAGATGAGGGAAAATAGATCTGTTCCTCAAAGGCAAAAATGAGAACTTCTACTCCTACTCAAGCTCAGCCACAGAACTCTGTGGTGGGGTGCTTTGCCCAGTCTTCTCCTGAGTCTTAATCAGTCTCCCACACTCTCACTGGCTTGATTTAAGCTCCTGCCTGCTTTGGCCTAAGAAAGATACTAGGCTCTAAAAACAGGCTCTTCATTTGGCAAATCCATTTACTAGTGGTTCATGTGTGCCTTGATTGCTCTCACTTCCAAATGCACTCTGCCCATGATCCCAGGCAGAGTGTATGACAGAGATATTAGACTTTATTTTTTTAATTAAATCTATACTCAGGAAACTCTCCTTAGCTCTGGGAGATACCTGTTCAGAAATATGGAGTAGCCCTGCTGAAGTCATTTTTAACAAAAAATAGCAGCCAAATTTAGAACACTGCATACACAGCTGAAACCAAGCAATTGAGGCAAAACCATTGTTTAGGACTATAACAAAGAGAGACAATAGGATTCAGAGGGAGACAAGCACAGGACAGCTCAGAGAGGTAGAAACAGAATAACATGTAGGGATGAAATGCTGCCTTCAAGTTTGAAGGATTTTGTTCTGGTCATGAAATAAAAAGGTGAAATGGATCTGGGGGGGGGGCGCAATAAGTTAGATGGTTAAGGACCCTAGAAACCCACCTTTGGTGGGAACCCCTTAGCTTTTTTTAGTTGGTAATGAGATGGAAAGCCATGACAAATTGAGGGAGTTCCCCTAGGTGGGCCTGAACCATCTTCCCCCTTCTAGAAAATAGACAAAGGCAGCCTGGAAAAAGCCCCTTCCTCACTCTTTCCAGCCTTTTGGCAGGGTGTTTGTTATCTTCAGATGACGAGCTCTGAGATCGTCAGCAGCTTTTGTACAAACACACTGATGGGTCGGATGGAATGTCCATGTATTATGGTCAGCTCTACCTGAAAGGAGTACCCTTGATGTCTGTATAATAGTAGTCATTTGTCATCACCAAAACCCGTTTCTAGATTGAAAAAAAAAAGTCATAGAGAAAAGAAAACATGGTTAGTCTGCTAGGTGACGTTTTCAGAAATCAATAAAAATAAATGAACACACGATCAGGTTAACGGCACTACATGAATCTTGCTTGAGATAAGTAAAGACAAGAGAAAAATGATCTCAGCGAAAGATATTTATTCCAGATAGAGCTTGCGAAGCTAATTTTTCCACAGTGGTTTGTTTTAAATTAAGCGGCAAGAATGTTTGAGAAAAATATACCCCTTTGTCCACTGTCTTCTTCACCTCCATGGAAAACTTCCCTGTCTTTCTATTCACCATGGCGTTTCTTAACTGAAACGAGAAAAGGAAATCTGGGTGTTAGTTTAATCTCTACATTACAATGCCATGTAGGCACCTTGCATCTCTAGATGGGAGCATGTTTGGTGGTGTGTGCAGAAACATGATGCTCTCAGAACCTGGGTGCTTTTGCAAGTGAAGCTACATTTACACAGAACTAGGAAATAGCTTCCATAGAATAAATTCTTGCTCTTTAAACAAAAAATAAAGTCATTCTGATTTGATAAGAATACAAGAGGGCAAGAGGATTGAGGTAAACAACAACAAACAATTGACTTTTGAGTTTGACTTGAGGCGCTTGTACAAACCTCAGTCCAACAACAAAAATGCCTGTTACTGTATTGAGGAATCTTGAGATTCCGAAAAGAGCTCTTAGAAATCCACTCAAGAACCAAGAATGTATCCAGGGACAAGTTACATCGTCAAGATTTATCATGAAGAAATCATTCTCTTTTTATAAGACAATCAAGTTTAAGGTGTTTCCCTACACAGTAGGTTTTTCTTTTTCTTGTTTGTTTTTTTTTTTAAAGAGACAACAGTTTGGGAGACAAAGATTAGCTTTTTAATAGCATGAATCATCTTCAAACACTCAATGAGAAATCTCAGCCAATTAATGGCCTTGTTGACAAGACATTGAACAGGGGCGACCCTGTCTCTCAGTTTTGGAAGTCCCATCTAGGCAGAGTAAGCCTGGCTCTCCTCCCCACCCCTGGCTGACCTCACTTCATTATGTGTGGCCCTCAGTGACTGCTGAATAGGACAGCAGATGTGGCGATGAGGGACATGCTACCCTGGATACCAACAGGACACAACAGGAAAGCCATTTAGCCCAAGAGGAGCAAATGCTCACATGCTGCAGGTCAGAAAAGACTCTTTCCTGGATCAGGCTTGGGTTTTTTAAATACATTCCCCCTCTTTCCTCCTTTAAGGCTTTTGAGCGATATTGGGTGATAGAAAACTGCAGTGATTGTGAGCAACCTAAATTTGATTCGGGGCTGTCTAGATTTGGGCTGGCATTCCCATCTTTTGGGAAAGAGAGTAAAAGCATAATTTTTTAGCTGGAGGCATGTATAAAATAAAACATATATTTTACTCTAGATATTTTCTAACAACACATAATGGGCATTTCTGGAAATATTTTCCTATTTTAACTTTTGTGGTTTTGGATGGGGAGAGCTGGCCCTAATTAAGTCTACTTTCTAACTTTTAAGAATGGCTCGATTTGTCTGTAACATGGTTTTCATTTTTCCTTTTTCTGGTGCATGCCTAAAGCCATTTGAGACCTTCCCCTCTCACATTCCCCAGGCAAGTCAGAGATTAGGTCAGCCTCTCCTTGCCTCACGGTTACCCCAGACTACTATGGTAGGACAGAACCATCGGCATGTGGCAAGTGAGGGCCAGAGACTAGGGCTTTGGACACTTTCCAGAGGAAAAAGCTAAGATAGTTAAAGTAGCCTTGCCCTTTTGAAAAATAATAATAGAAATAAATTATACTTATTGAGCTCCTAGCGGTGAGGCATGTTAGTAAACTTTAATGTAGAAATAAACTCTGAAGGCCAGTGCTTTATGACCTTTGACAAATTTACCTGCCATTCAGAGCCTCAGTTTCTTTTTCTGCAAAATGATCCTCATAAGAATGTCCATCTCACAAAATCGCCATTGAGGTCTAAATAGGTCCATGTTTAGTAAAGTGAAGTCAGCATGTGCTAAGCATCCATCATCATCATCATCATGACCCTCATCAGCAATACCAAAACCATCATGAACGTCTTTGTCTTCTTCCTCTTCACCATCATTCTCATCATTTTCATTTATTGTCACACACCTTTCAAGAGCTTCAGGAAGCAGTATTCAAAGTCCAATTTCTTGGCCCAGACCCAATGTTTTCAAGCTTTTTGGACTACAAGCCACATGAGAAATATATCTTACATGGGGAAGGCCTTCAGTATCTCCTATCTCAGTAGATTTCATTTTCTCTGCTACTAAGGAACTACTAAGTGGGTTTTGTGACTTCTTTCCAGGTTGAAAAGCTCTTAGCGAACTGATTTGGCACACACTGAGAAGCTGGCAGCCAGGTAGGAGTACGAATCTAGGGCTCAAGCTTGCACATGGACACACACCAGTTTCCTTGGGCTTTTCTGTGCCTTTGTTTTTTCCTCTCTTAGCCTGTCCAAAGTGTGTCTGAACAATACTCTCAAGATCCCAGGAACCCTGTCAAGGGTGGTAAAACACGGTGCTCATAAAATTCCTGTGAAACTCACATTATTGATAGATACTACTGACTGAGCTCTTACTGTATATGTATCAGTTAGCAATTGTGAAACTCAAAATTTCAATACCAGCCTGTTTAAAAAGTGGAGAAACTGAGTTACAAAACTTGAGGAAGATAACACAGCCTCCCTCTCTCTCTCTTCCCGCCTCTCTCCCTCCCTCCCTCCCTCCTTCTCTCTCTCTCTCTTTCTCTCTCTCTCTCTCTTTCCATCTCCCTCTCTCTCTCTCTCTTTTTCTCTCTCTTTCTCATGAGCTCAAGCTCTTAACCTCTATTTCCCAGTCCACAAGAGAAAGTGTGTGGAGTAAATTGACTATTTTAGCATTTATGTATAAAATATACATTATTATGTCTTGATATTTTTAAAATAAGTTTTTATTGTGAGAATACTGTACAGAGTAGGGGTTACAGCTACATGAGCAAGGTAATGAGTACATTTCTTATCAAGCATTGTTTTCTCCTCCTTTGTTTCTCCCCTCCCATCTCCACAACTACACTCCTGCATCCCCCCCATTGTAAAGTTTGTTTTTTGACATAGCGTCTTGTACATCTCATTATTTAATCAAAGTATGTTTTTAATTGATCACTTATTTTTTTACTTACGGCTTTATGGCTATTTTCAAATAATTATAAAAGAGGGTTTGCAACTTGACAGGTCCATATGTGTTTAAAACACAGCTTGATTATAGTCAGCCCTTCCACTGTCCCCTCCCCATACTATGCCTTCACCTACCAATCTTATCAAGTTTCTTAGAATTTAACCACTTTTAAAATGGTCTATAGTTCACTTCCTAGTGGTTTTTTTTTCTTCAGATCCAAGTATTGGGATCTGGTGCCCATGGTTCTGTCTGTTACCAGAGAAGAAGAGATTTGGTAATTTTTTTTTTTCATAGACTGGAACACTCTAGAAACATTCTTTTTCTATGTTAAGAGACTGAGGCTCCAGGAGTAAAGCAATGTGCTTAGAGTCATATGACCAGTAGGAACAGTCAAGTCTCTACTCACAGGTCAGGAAAGGTAAGACTGAAGGGCTGCTTTTAATAGCCTTTGAACTTAACACTTTCTGGATTTATAATACGAACTACTGGGAAAATAAAAATAGCATGGCAGAGAAGACTTCCAAACACTTTTTGGTGTGCCCACATGTTAACATATTATATAGTCATTAAAAGTCACAATCACCAATGTTCAACTTAATACATAATCAAAGAAAGGCAAATAAGTGCACCAAAGACACATATATGGTACCTTTCTTTTGCCTATAAGATGCCAAGCATCTGCAAGTGTGATCTTGAACTCAATGACATAAAAGGTAAAACATCCTTAAGGTGAAATAGCAATCTCAGTGTGGCAGTCAGCTTCCCAGGTCTCTGGGAGTTGCTCTGTGGACTTAGTTCATATTTGCTTTGAGGAGACTAGGGATTGGCAGCCTTAATGACCAATCATCGTACCTACCTCCCCAGCACCACAGCTGCAGGCAGGTGCTCTCTTTGAGCCTGCTGGGAACAGAACAGTAGGGGAGTCTCCCCCAGAGATCCAGTGGCCACCTTTGTATGAAATTACATAGTGACATGAATGGTAGCTTCTTGTTCACATGAGAATGGTAAATCCATCCTCCCAATGTTCAGGTAGCCTGTATGTCCAAGTGCCTAATGACATGCCATCAAGCCAACCCCACAGAATAAAGGGGTGCAGTAGTGAAAAAGTCTGATCATGAAAGCAGAACAGACACAAGTTACCTCCACCACAGATCCTCTCTTACGGATCTGCTTGGACTCTAAGGGTGAGCTATTCTTGCACTGGGAGCCTAGGGCTCATTCAGGATGTTCAGAGAAATGGGAGAGGTTGTAAAGGAGAAGAAAATGCATGGTTGAAGGACTCAGAAATAAGCTTCAGGCAAGAAGCTTGTAACTTGTGAAGGGCTCTATGAGAGCCCTTGCGGTAAGATGAAATGTGGACTCACAGAGGGCAGTAGAAAAAAGGCTTAGAGTGCAATCAAAACAATTCCAGTTGGGTTCAGTATACATATGGGGCAGGATTTCTAATACTATGTGAACAAATATTTATTTAGTAGCTACCGTATGCAAGGTACTCCCAATATTCTGTGTTCCTCAGAGAGAGAAAACACTGAAGTAGTCTTCAAACTCTCAGAGTCTAGGGCTTTTTCTGTGGCACAAAAGTGTCATGAGAATGATTTTAGAGGAATCCATGTTATGTGCCTTTGGACCATTATAGCAGTTCTCTGCCTTAATTTCCTTATTCATAAAACATGGACAACAATAACCCCTACTTTATAGATTGCTGTCTATGAGTCTGTTCACACAGAGCACTCAGCTCAGTACAGATACAGAGCAAGGGTTCCATATATGGTAGTTATTCTTACTTATGATACAATTTTTTTCTATTTATAGCAATAATCATGTTTCACTGTGGAAAGTTTGGTGATGACTAAATCATAATAGGAACAAAACAAACAAAAAAATCATCCTTAATTCATTCAGCCAGCTCTGGAAATTTATAACCAAAGAATAAACACTGTTTTTAAAGGTAATTTTTCCTTTCCAGCGATGATCCTCACTGGTGATTCATACTGGACCATGTGTCCCAAGGGCCCTTGCTGATGTATGGGGTCTCCCAGGGATCTGTCCTACTTGGAGTACTGCTGTTGATGGAGTGCCCAGCCCAGCCCATGGACTGGGACAGAAGTTCTCTCTGTCTGACAGGGTCTGCCTTACTCTTTTCATTATTTCAATTTTAGCCAGTCTATTTTAATAGCATATATAATCTGATATCACTGTTGGAAGTATGCAAGGGTCATGGTATAAATGCAGTCCTTAAATTCAACGAGAACCTAACTGTCCATGAGAGGTGAGATTAGCCTTCCAAGTTTTCTAAAGCTGGGTGGAATCAGTTACTTCTTCTCAGTGGCTTTGCTCACATGGTCTTTCTTACCTTCTGACCTAAACTCTGGCCTTTGCTACTATGTACAAACCTCTATAGACAGCCTATGGACAACCTTCTCATGGATTCTAGAATTCTCCAGTCATTGGAGAAATGATGGCTCTGATCTTCCTAAGTCAAATATGATAGTGAAGGAGTTTATATTTCAAAGCACTGGCTTGCAAGGGGACAAGACAAAAGACCCAAACAATGAGATAATCAGAGAATTTGTATATGATGAGAACACTGGACTGGCTTCAGAAGTGGGAACTCTGAGGACAGACAGCCAGAAAGCAGTCTAGTGGGTCAGATGAAATTGTTGACAATGCTCATGAGTCTGGAAAGCTGATCCTGCACCTCTGATGAAAAAGCAAACTGGAATGAGGAGACAAAAAGCATTTCCAAGCCATGATCAATAAAAAGTGTTATCAACTCACTGAAAATCAGCAGGGGCACAGAGGATGACTAAAATAATCATAGTAATAAATCTCTTTCAAGTAGGACTTGAAGGAGAAGTGAGTGTGTCAAACTGTGGCGGGTGCACCAGCAACTGGGGATGGGAGCTCTGAAACGAGTGTGAACATAACGAAGTGTGGCTTTCATGCTGATTAAAATGGAAACGATAGAAGATAACTCCCCTGTGAAGGAAAACAAAAAAAAATCCAGCGAGATGGAAAAGGTGAAGAGAAAGAGACCAATGGAGGCTAGGCTTCAAAGACCTGAGGTAAGTTAGCAACAGTAAAATCCACAGGACGTTTGTTGCATGAGAAGGTCAGTTGAGGACCAATAGCAATGACAAGAACAATAGTGACAACGGCTACTATTCATAGACTGTGCACATACTCACAAATAGAGGAAGCACTACTATATTTTCAAATACATCAATCCAGCGAATCCTTATAACAGATCTAAATGGTTGTAAGGTGGGGATTTCACCATCGTCTCATATTATTGGGGAAATAAAACCCCACAAAGACCAGGAACAATTGTGAAATACAGAGGTCTCAGCTGCTCCCTGGAGGAAAATTGCCAGGAGCACAGACAAGATTCAGCCTCCTCATAACAGTGCGGGGCAGTACAATCCTCAAACCCTAGCAGGATCCTGGTAACCACATTTAACAAACAAGAAGATATCAAATCCTGACATGATGTAAGACCATTGGGTGAAGGGACTGGCTAAGGAAGTAATTTTTATCAAACAGCAAAATTATTTTGTCTGAACTTGGGTTTAATCAGACTTAGTATAGATGAAGAAGGGATACAGGTTAAATTTCTCAAGCAGATATGACTCACATTTTACAAGGCAGGAAGAAAATCCAAGATTGATGCTTGCCAAGATATCCAGGGAGCAAAGATGTAAAAACAAACGAACAAGCCATAGTGAGGGAGCCGTGATGTGGGTCCCATTTCTGGAAGGCACTAGAATCCAGTCTGAGATTCCAAATAGTTCTCCTTAACATCCTTTTGAAAAGCAGAACAGTGTGAGATGAAACACTGCTAACATAATGACAGAAGTCAAGAAAAGACCTTAGACAGATGTGAAAAGGTAGGGAAGAGAAATGGAACTTTAACATAGAGATACCATAAGAAAAAATGAAGAGAAAGGCCCCAGATGACTCTACCTGAGAAATCATACCTTAATTAAAGAAGTCTGCCTAGATTCACAAAAGGCAGCTATGTCTAACAGATCTGATTTATTGAGGAAGTAAGAAGACTTAGTGAAAAGTCACAGGCATAAGGAAACCTTTTGATACAGTCTCGAAGGCTGAATTTGAGTGGAGGACAGAGGATCCTGTACTAACAGAAGCACAGAGGCACAGGAAAGAGTGGCCAACCACACAGGAAAGTGGGCAAACATAATCCCTGGGTTGCCCATTAGAAACAAGAGTATGCTCACAGGGTCCTGACAGGGAAATTCCAGTTGCCCAGGAGCCTGCCTGCTTGTCCTGCAGCTGCCTGACTTGCAACAGGAAGAATGCTCTGTTGCCCACCCAAGGCTTCCGTGAAGATGGCAGGCCTCAACAACCACACTGCAGAGGAGACTGGACCATTAAGTTGCACAGGGGACCAGTCTTCAGGGTTGTTTTGGCAGACTGCTCAAACAGGTGGGATGGTGGTCTGTCTGCAACTGATCTGACCGACTGGCAGGGGACTTGTAAAACTCCAACTGTGGTAAAAAGGATCCATTGTCTCCACATCTCTCTAGTTGACAGGGGTCCCTCTGGTGGCCTTTTGACCAGCGTTGAGTCAGTAGAGTTCTCTCCTCAGAAGACTTGAAAAAAAGTCACTTACCACATCATCCCGGTCTTCCCACTCCACTTCTGAGAGGTCAACGCTACTGTAGTTAGGTTTCCTGCGCTTTTTTCCTTCTTCATACTAGCATTGTGAAGAAGGGAAAGAGAAAGAAAACAAATGTCTGTGAAAACGTCCAGCCAAGGAAGGCAACCTTTATTCCCTCAAGTCCTGTTTCATGGATGGGGGGGACTATGAGAACACAAGTAATACTAAATAGCCTTGAAAGGTGATTAAAATCTTCAGTTCCAAGGATTTTTAATGACAGGCATACCAAGGCCAGATGCCTGTGAACATTTGCTCTGAGCTGAAGAATATACAAGCCAACTCTTTGCTTGATTGGATTTTCCTAGTATATTCCTTGGCTTCAAAATGCAAGGTACAAAGGGAAGTCCATCATGCCATAGATAGGGAGATTACGTCCATGTACTTCCAAACTGAAATCGCCCCTCAGAACACGACAAAGGGCTTCTTTAACACACTTACCAAAATCTCATGTTTTATAAACTGTCTCAAGCTTAACCCTGTGCTTCTTGGGTGAGAAATAAAACTACTGATCTCTATACTTTTGAGTTGGGCTCAGTTCCTGAGAACACTTTATAATAAACAGAATTTTCTCTTTGCTATAATACAGGCCATAGCAGTAGTAAACTAAGCGTGGCTATTTTACCAGGAATAGATGAGGGTTGGGGGAATTGTTGCCAAGTTTAATAGCTGTGAGGAAATTTCTCTGGAAAAGCTGATAAGAGCATTAATTTGTGAGGAAGTGGTTCTAGTTTCTCCCCCTAAATCACTGGTGTTAGCATACTATTTTATCAACTTGACATTCTTGTATCTGGGTGTTCCTGCATCTTGATGCCTTTAATATTGATTGTTGGGCTGTTTATAAGATAGGAAAGTCTGCCCTCTACTGCAGGCAAGGAATAAGCAATTTCTTTGTAAATTCAGCGTATAGGAATAGTAGCATACTGGAAAACATATAAAATGTGTGTGTGTGTGTGTGTGTGTGTGTGTGTGTGTGTGTGTGTGTACTTTCTTTTAAGTCTGTCTCAAGATCCATCATCCCTTGATTGGATAGTAATGATCTATGTGAGATGGAGGGTGAGTCAAATATTGCCAATGTATGGAAGCAAACAAGTCTACACTGGAATCAAGGACACAGAAGCCAAAAGTGGAGATCTCATGTCACTGTGACATCCAGTGTTTTTCTCTTCTTCCCTGTTGACTATATTTCAGGAACTCTGTACCACCTCTACAGACTCTTCTCCTTACCACCAAGGGGCAATGGGCTTCAACCACCCTGTCAACCATGTTTCCACTTCCTCCTTTGAGGTTTCTAATTAACAGACATTCACGGCTTTTATGACATCAGATCCACTCCAGATGAAAAGGAAGGGAAGTGGTTCTCTCAGAAGCCGCTGTAAATGATAGCAGATTAGCAGTTGGATCGTGTTATGGAAAGTTCCTGTGTGCATGGAAACCCTGGGCCTCAGAAAGCCAGGCTTGCTTTGAGCAGAATGAACCAGAAGGTCAGTGTAAGGTGTCATCATAGGCAAGAGCGATGGGGAAGAAGATCTAAAATTCAGGACTATCTGCCTGGGCAGCTAGAGTCAGGCAGCCATTTTAAACCAGGGCTACAAGTGCCAGTGGCCCCAAGTTCCATTTCAGTAAGAACCATTCCTAAGAGCTGTTAGGTACCTCAGATTCCTATAGCCCAGATCTGGAATTTCAAAGGCAGATTTCCACAGTTCCTTGGGTAGCCCACTTTGGGATGTGAAGTGTTTATTTTGTTGAGGATTTTTCAGGGGTAGGGGAGAGTGCTTCCTTTGGTTATTTCAAAGTGCTCTTTTACTCCTTTATTCAATACATATTTATTGGAAACCTACAAAGTGCAAAACACTTAAAAACGAAGTCTTTCACAGCACTCTCGGTTCCCATGGACTTACTTGTAGTTTATCACCCTTAATTCTGTCTGTTATCATCCATTCAACAATGGAGAAATGAACGCTAACAGGTTAAGTAACAAATTAACCAACAAGTTAAAGAAGATCATCTAAGCAGTATGAAGAAGGACGTCCCACCAACCAACCAGCCCCTGCCCCAGTTTTTATGTCTAGGCCTCATGCTATTTTAACCTCTGTGAAAGAAATGTTAAAAACCCACCCAATGTGTCATCTTCAAGAAAAAAAATCCATATATTTTTGTGAGAAGAGCCCTGCCACTGCCTACCTCCCACCTGACTATGAGACCCTAAGGCATGTGTCAAGCTACTCCAGAGATTCTTACTCATTTTCCAAACTACCTGCACAGGAAAGGCAGGCTGAGGAGACAGACATCAGATACAAAATGGCATCACAGTCCATGTTCCAAATATATTCTTAATTCATGGGTAACAGGATTGCAAGAATCATGTTCTTCCTGGAAAGACAGGATCTTCTGGTATGGGATTTGTTTATACCTTGTTTCTTTATATGGAAGGAGACATCTTTGATGTTGAAGCCCACAAGGAGGCAGAAAATGTTTGTCAAAGATGATGGTGTCAATCATACAAGTTGAGTCTTAAGACTGTTCTGGCAGAGTCATTCAAGAAATGCAGATCGTTACACCCAGAAGCTATTGAAGAAGCAAGGAGAGACTAGGGAATGAAGGAATAAAAGATTTTTCAGCATTCTGGTCTGTGAGCTACCATATTGCAGCAAGCCTCTAGAATTTAATTTCACTCAGGGAAACAGGAACTATGGGCAGGGGGCATACTCCCTAGGAAATTTCCTTTTAGAAATGTTCCTTCACAATGTATGTTTAATCAGGGTTATGTAACAGGTCTGAACCACTGTCATCTGGATCAAGATCCAGGTAAGCTTCTTTAGGATATAAACATTAACGTAACCAATGGGTTAATTTGATTGAGAGAGGAAAAGTTCTATGGACTGTTATGCAGAAAGCAGGCCAAGGGCTTTAGCAAACTACTATACTGACCTAAACTTGCTTTTCCATGTTTCCAATGGGAAGGTATAAGAAGGCCAGAACTTGGAGCTCCATTAGGAAGACACTTGTGGCCTGCAACTACTATTTCCCACACTTCCCAGATTAAGCACCTTGGTTTCCCCACAGCATCATTCTCAGTGAACACAGCTCTAGCAGGGAAGGCTCAGAGCACTCCAGAACACGAGGACTGGTTCAGAGGTGGGTATATAACCAGGCCAATCCACATGAGCTTCAAGAGACTCGCTGAGGCTAGCATCCACTGGGAAAAGAGGCTTTACATCCATTGGCATTGCTAAGGTGGTAAAATGTGAACCTGTGGACCATTTCATCACTACTTGGACAGTATCTCTTTTGAGAATGAAGCTACAGCAGAGAAAACAGAGAGAAGATATGAAGAGAGTCCTGAAGACATATGTGCAAACCTGAATTAAACGGTGCTCGAAATCTTTCTGTATTTGGATGTGTCACTATTTCCTCCTTGTATAGCTTTCTTTTCAGATTAGTTTTAGCTGGATGGCATTTCAATCCTTAAGTAGTCAATAGAGTTATAACTGGAATATATTTAATGCTGTTTTTCCCTTTTAAAAGAACTACTTTTGATAGTACATTTTACATTAAATATTTGCAAACTTCAGTACTTTAATGATTATTCAGGAACATATGCTTTATAAAATGTCTTATTGCTCACCAGGATACCCTAATTTGTTTGAGCAGAGCTGGTCTCCACTTGGTTTTCTGACACCTCCCAAGTAACAGAAAAAGAACTAAGCTCTTGTATCTCCAGTTCCCAGGCCAGCTCACTTTCTGGAGCAGCCTGAGCATGGGACAAACCCCAGATTCCCCCAGCTCCAAAACTTCCTCTTCTCCTATGTAAGGAGCTTGTTATGGGGCTCAAGTTTTGTATATGGCAATTGTTAGTGTATCTATAATCTGTAACTTCCTTTGAAAATGTGATTAACGAATTGCAAATTATTTCCAAAGGCTTATAAACAGACTTTGAGAGCTACAGGTAGGTTTGTAGCTTTGGGTGCCTGCTTTATGAAAAAAATATGCACAGGAGAATTTAATAAGGAAAGATATTCTGTGCTATGAAATACTTTGAGGTGAAGTTTCAAATGAAGGCCAGATGTGTGAACACAGACACAAGCCTGTGGCCTAGGAGGATGGGACAAGAAGGCACCCATCCTAGGAGCAAGCCAGAACGAGCTGAGGGCTTTTCCTGAAGGAGCAGAACATTCTTGGCCTCATTTAGTAGCTAATATTCTGGATACAGGCACTTCTGTGTGTCACCTGGAGATGTTGGAAGTATACTATATGGACCAAGGTAATGGTCACGCTGAGTTATAAAAAACAACTATGACATTGCTTCTTCTGCACTCTTCTGGGAAAGGGCTGAGGGGATCACAGACACACATCAAGGAAGGGAACCAGGGTGGTATGTCCTACTAATGGATCAACAAGACATGGAAGGCCTTGTTGTCAAGAGAAAGGAAGGAAGGAAGATGGGAGATCCATCTTCTGGAGATCCTTTGCTGGAGGGGCAGAAACTTTTCTCTGGACAATGGCAATGGTGTAGCTGAGGTTCAGAGCCAGGCAATGTCTGGGAAGCTATTTCTCTCCCCAGAAGGCCACAATCTCCACTAGTGAAGGCCAACATTACCTCTTCTGAGGCCCTGGTCAGCTCTCCTCTGAGAGGCTAAAGGGATTACTACAGAAAGGATATGAGCCCGGTGACAGTGGCTTGTGCCTGTATTCCTAGCTACTCAGGAGGCTGAGATCTGAGGATCACAGTTCAAAGCTAGCCAGGACAGGAAATTCCATGAGACTCTTTATCTCCAATTAACCACCAGAATACAGGAAATGGTGCTGTGGCCCAAAGTGGTAGAGTGCTAGACTTGAATGAAAGAGCTCAGGGACAGTGCCCAGGCCCTGAGTTCAAGCTCCATGACCTACCAAAAGAAAAATACAAAAAGAAGGGATATGAGCATGCAGACATCTTTCTTTCTTGCAAAAGCCTCCTGGCACTTTATTCCTTCACTCACTTAACAATAATCCAGTTCACTTACACATCTCTAAATCCTGTAGGTACCTAACACTTT